CAAGCTAGGAATATACTTTCTTTAATAGGTGCTATTCAAATTTTATATTTCCTCCAGAGTTAGTTTCACTAATTTGTCTTCCAAGGTACTTCTTAGAAGCTGTCAAATTTATTTCAAAAAAGTTTTGTAATATGCTTTCTCTATCCTTTTAAATTGTGTAAAATCTGTGGTAATGTCCTCTAAATTTTGATACTGTAATTAAAACAATGTAAAATTGATATTGCATAATAGGAAGAAAAGGTCTAAAAGAGTAGGGGAAGTGAGAGGGGTTGGGGAAAGGAAAGAAGGGAAAAGAAACAATATGAGAAAAAGAAAAAAAATGGAAACAAAGTCTTTGCAAATAGGGAAGGGTGGAGGGGGTGAAGGGAGGGCAGGGGAAAGGGAAAAATGCCAACCAAGATACATCATGTAAAGGTACAAGATCCCAATGATGAATGTAACTGTATTTTATACCTAAAATGTACCAATAAATTTCATGAAAAAAAAATAGAAAGGATGGTAAAATGAATTCATTCCTTATATGAACATTGTTCTTTTGATAGTACCCATATGGGAGATTGTATGGAGATGGGGAAATGGTACCATTCCTTCTGAGGCCCAGTGGAAGAATGTTATGCTTGATTATGCATATCTTCCAAATAAAAAAACTGAGAAACAAGGGTCAATAAAGGACCAATTTGCTCAGTATGGTTGTTAAAACATAATGGCTGAAATACATAAGTATATAACACCATAATTAGATCTGTAGGCACAGACATCAACATCTCAAACACACAGATATCTTCCAATATTACAAGCTTTGTTTTGGGGGAGAGATTTCTAAGAAAATTTAAATAATGTTCAATAAAATGATTAAAAATTATTACACTAAGAAAAGTTACGTGGAGTGAAAAGGACACTGGGCTGCCTCGCAAGCGCAAGGACCCAAGTTCAATCCCTGGTACCAAAAAAAAAGACACTGGGCTGGAAATCAAGAGATGCTATGGATCTAAGAATATTAGATATTATATGCATGAAATCTGCAATCCAATATACGAAGTGAACTTTTTTTTTTTTTTTGGTACCAGGGATCGAACTCGGGTCCTTGAGCTTGCGCAGCAGATGGAGAAACCACTGAACTAAATCCCCAGACCTCGAAGTGAACTTTTTAAGGTGGTATTAATTTTGTCAAAAACAATGAAATAATTTGTTACTTGACTTGTTCCTTCACCCCAAACCAGGGAAGGAAGCAAGAAAACACACACGCACACATGCGCTTGTGCTAAGGAGACTGAAATTGGAATGAGAGACAGAAAGAGGCAGAAAGAAATATAGTAGACCAAGGTCAGGCAGAAGAAACTGCTTTTCTTTTCTTCTAGCTCCAGAAGTACCATAGCATCTTCTGAAGAGAAAGTGAAAAGGAGCAAAGATGATGTGTGGGAATCTTCAGTACAAATACTTTGTTATTCTTTACTTTCAAAGAATTAAATGTGATCAGTAATAGTCACCACTTAATAACAAGCTAATAACAATTCTACACCTTTTCCAACTTTCGTTTTTTTTTTGGTACCCGGGATTGAACTCGGGTCTCTGAGCTTGCGCAGCAGGCAGTGAAACCACTGAGCTAAATCCCCGGCCCACCTTTTCCAACTTTCTCACTGGCAAGACACAAACTTGCTTCCCCACGTTTAAAACTTATTCTGGTACTACTGAAGTCCTTATCTTTCCTCTTCCCTTCTAATCAACTTTTCCACTTGACAAAATGACAATGTTCTTCCCTCCAATAAGCAAATGAACTTTCAGAGGGTTACATAAGCTCGTACGGCAAACAGAAGTATTAAATAAATTTGCATGAGAACCAAAGAGACGCTTCCAAAAAAAAAGAAGAAAATTCTGAAAAATTTATTTCCTAGCATAAATAATGTTATTCAATGACTACATCTTGGGCTCAGAATCACTGGGGCTTAGGGTATGAATTCTTCCATTTGATTAGCAAAACTGTTCTGTTGCAAGAGAGGAGGAAAAGGGGTTATTTCTAGAAGAATAACAAGTCATTACAATATTTAGTACATACTTTCTGTCACACTTACCTTCTCACCACTGGAGTAGAAGAAGTAACGTAATCGGACTATGTTACAGTGATCTAGCTTTCTCATGATCTGAAGCTCTCGGTTCTGAAAAGGAAACACATGAAAGTATTTTTTAAGGATAACAGCTATTAATTAAAATGACCAAGAGGATTCCAAAATAATATTAAACACTACAAACAGCAGGCTATGGGCATGCTATATAAAAGTATGGTCTGTAGACCATTTCTGATCTGTAGAACTATTTGTTACTAGTCCATGAACTGTATTTTTCTGTGTAGCAGTAAGATAAATACAAAGATCAAGAGTGTTCAGAATCTTTAATATCAATTTGACAAAACAGTTTTAAATTTATGAATATAGTAAGAATTAGGACCTATATTCTTTATCTTTGTTAAATTTTGCTTTTGTAGTAATTTGTACTATATTTTGCAAAAATGTCAGTCTGGTGATCAGAAATTATAAAAACTGATATTTTACCAGTATAGCATGTGAGAGACTGGTCTGCAGTTTGTAAGAAATATCTGAAATGATCCCTTACTAGTGTTATTTTTGTACCTATAATAGTAATTTTTAAAACAGAATAATAAACAAATGAGCCCGGGGTCATTTGTTTTTCAAGACACAGTGAAAAAACTAGGAGTTAACTGCATGAAAGGGGCTGACTTGCTAAGTTTTAGTAATAGTTAAAACATGGCATACTAAAAATGGCACAGTTCCAACAGATCTGTAGATAGATCACAAAAACAATTTCCTCCTTTGAAAGTTTTAAAGTTAGGCTCATTCTTCCTGAAAATAAAATACTAAATACTAATATAACTGCTTCGTACCATATTATTTTGCAGTAATAATTTTCAATAGATTATATAAGGAGGATATATTCCAACAACATACTAGGCTGTCAGAAATACCAACATATCATCTAGTGGCCACAAAAAAAATTTTTTAGTTAATATAATGATTGAAAGAGCTGCAAAACATGAAGTATATACCTGGGAATTAGGGGGGAAATGGTGTTATGGTTAGAAATAAAAGGCCAAAAAGGCACGGGGGTGGGGGTGGGTGGCGGTGGTGGTGAGGATGCCTAAAAGCCCAGGAGCCTGATAGGCAAAACTATTCTAGTAGGGTAGCCTCTAGTTTTTAGATTACAGGGGCAAAAATAAGTGACTGTTCTTTTAAACTTACCTTCAGAGATGGACTCATGTATACAGACATATTTTAAATTGTTTTATAAAATACTAAACTGTCATTCTATTATTTGTTATAAAATGCTAACTGAAGCAAACCCAGAATTACAGTACAGTTCAATTGTTTTAATAAAGACACTGATGTCAGGGTCAAGTTTTGATTGGAAAGGAGGACAGAGAAAACATTACCAATTTCAAAACTGTCAATTTCCATTCCAAAGTGAAGCTGTTTCTCGAAGTATTTCTATACTTTACCAATTCACATTTTGGTAGCTAGCTTGGCAAGAGAGCTGCCAATAAACCAAGACTCATCCCGTTAATGATGTACAGCTAGTAAAACTGAATGTTTTTCACATACACAACTATGTTAAATTGAACAATTTCTTCAGACTCATTAACCAAGGTAACAGGGAACTATTAAACTGCTAGATAACAGATGTAGAAGAATGTGCACACTACCTTAGTCAAAAAAGATGCCCAAGAGATGTATGAGGACATAAACAGTCACGTACCCTTACTCTTCTGTTTATAATATTCTACTTTTTTAGAAAGGATACATAAGTTTCCTCATTTTAAAATTCCCTAGGCCTGGGGATGCTATCATTCCCCACTACCATCAACTCAGGAAGATAGTTTTACCATGAAAATCAGGAATTTTGCTTTCACAGGGGGCTACCATCATTTAGAACATAAAGCAAAACCGATGCCTATTGGTACTGGCAGTAAAAACAGCAAATCTGATAGGAAACAAGAGTAAAAAAGCCCTCATTCTGCTGCTCTTAGGCTGCAGTCCAGCTGGGGAAAAATTACAGACAGACAGAACATCCAGAAAGTTAACAGGGAAATCCCAGAAAACAGAGAGGCATAAAGGGCAAAATAAATTCCTTACTCATTTCTAGCTGAATGAGAAGCTATGCACAAATGCAGATGAGACTTTAGAAGGTCACAGAAAAATAAAAAGCAAGGCCTACTTGAAAATTGAATTTTGAATGAATTCTCTAACTCACATAGGGAATAATCATCAAAAATGGTGGAAGCCTTACCAACTCAGTATTTGAATACAATCTCTAACCTGTAACTGTGTAGACACTAACCCAGTGGCAATGAACCTATGACATGTGTGCTGCAGCCAGCTGTTTATTATCACTGAAAGCCCTAAAAGGTTTGCCATTACTACACTAAGCTGTGCATGCCAAAAGACACAATGAAGCAGGCCAAGAAATGAAAGAACAAAGAATTTAACACGGAATTCAAGAGCATCTAATTGTTGTGGAGAAAGAATCTACAGATTACAACCAGGCAACTTACAAAAAGAATAATATGGTCTAATGCAACTATATTCAGAAGACTTTTAAGTCATCATCTAGATGGTGACATTATATAAAATGCTATATCAAAAATGTGTGAAACAGGCAAACAACAGGAAAAGTTGACCCATATTCAGGTGAGAAAAAAAATGTACTCAACAGAAATTGACTCTGGTAGATACAACTATTGATCTTAGTAAAGAACACAAAGCAGCAATCATTTTTAGGTTCAAAGAATTAAAAGAACTGAAAAAAAAAGGATTAAAAGAACTGTATTTTAAAAATTAAAGATATAATGACAATTATATACAAAGTAGGAAATGTTAATGAAGAATTGCTAAGACTTTTTGTGGTATTCAGGATTGAACCCAGGGCCTTCATATGCACTGAGATACATCCCTGGCACTTTTAAAATTCTGAAATAGAGTCTCACTAAGTTGCATGGGCTGGATTTGGTGAAAAATATCAATCTAACAGACTATAAAGCTCAACAAGTCTAGTAAAACAGAGATCTATATGTAGGCCCATTACATTCAAACAATCTGAAGTCAGAAAGAAAAAACTATGAGGGGCCGGGGATTTAGCTCAGTGGTCTGGTGCCTGCCTCGAAAGCACAAGGTCCCGAGTTTGATCCCAGGCAC